CCTTCACCATGGAAATTGCCGACTAAAACCTATTGTGGCGAGGAAGGAAGACAGTCCAGAGACCCATTGTTCCGAGCTCGACCACATGCCTCTCGCAACACCGAAGACGGAAGCCACGTTGTCTGAGCATGTCATTTGAGCATTATCGGTTGAGTTTTTGTCATTCACTACTGTTGCCGAGAATGGGTCTTGTTCTCCCTGTGCTATTTTCTGGTTATGTTTCTCTCACTATGTTTTGGTATCAATAACCAATAGTGGTAATAATTAATTGGAAGCAAAATGCCTAATAACATACACAGTTGAGAGAGAGAGTATAACAATGAACATGATAAATTAATTACTGAATATTGATAATTGAGAATAACTATATTGAGACTGAATTTTACTATTAATATGGGTATTGTTGAGATAGACTATTGGGTTCCAGTGACATGCAGTGTAACACCAAATCATGTCCAAAACAATCAGTAGTGGATCTCCATCCCCTTGAGATATTGAAATTAATATATATATATATATATATATATATAAAAGAAAAAAAATCATTAATTAGCTAGATGTCATGATGGTTCGTGATATATGGATATAGAGAGAAATAGAGAGAGAGAGACAGCGTGGGGGGCATTCGAGATGGTGTGATCGCGTTGGCCAAAATTCGAGATGGGAAGGGGCAGCTCTCGAATTTTAATTACATACTGAAACAAAAGGATTTCAATTACATACATTTATATATCAATAATATATAGATAAACATACATATATGTAACAATCTAGTTCAAATGGAGATGACTGAAACAAAGGGATTTCAACAAATTAAAGAAACAAACAAATGTAAAAATAAAAAAAATAAAAACCCTAATTTTGGATGAGAAAGTGGAAGGAAATAATGTTGGGCATCAAAGTGGGATAGGCGGTGATGTTGTAGACCTCGTCGGCGAGGAAAGTGTCAAGCCAGGGCAGAGGTCTAAGCATTTTGCATTGTTCATCAAACCCATAACCTATTGTTTACTTTTTATCAAACCCACAACCCACAACCCATAACCTGTTGTTGATCAAAGCAAAGCTCTCTGTATTCGCCGGAAATTGTGGATCTAAATGAAGCTCACCGGTGGAAAATATAGTTGGTTTGGATGGAAGATGGTTTTGAGTTTATGAGGGTATGAAGTTTGGACTCTAGAACTACGACTCTGAAACTAGTTAGGGTTTCATGGTTTTGTTAATCTGTGGGTCATATCTGTAGAGAAGAGAGAGAGTGGTTTTGATAGACAGAAGAGAGACAGACAGACAGAAGCGCCCTTGAGGAGAGAGAACGTTCGATACAGATAGAGATAGTGGAGAGAGAAATAGTGTTTTTGTGTATTGGCGGGAGAGTGGGTAGGTGAGAGTTTAATGAGGGGTGTAAGAGTCATTTACATTATCTGCTATTTTGTATTAAATGTCTTTTTCCACGTTTTTAACGGAGACAGTAACGAAAAAGTGAAATTGGACCTAACTGATAGTTATTTTCGAAAGATATTTTAAACTGATATTGGTCAAACCTCATGGGGTGTCAGTGAAATTAACCCTAATTATTAATATGTATCAATCGTATTTGACGTCAATCACACCACCATGTTTAATGTGGAGAATTTTTTTACTTATCGATCAGGCATGGAGATTGGCATCATCATCTTCATCCTTACTTTCTTCCCAAAACCCTAGTTCTAGAGAGGAATATTTTTTTCTATAATTGGTAATATCTTTATATCATGATATGATACCATATGGTTCAATAAATCAATTACATACTCCTTTGAGTAAGGACCAAGTCAGTACAGCCCATGATTGGAGGAAATTCACAACTACATAAGTTAGGTAGAAATCGGCGCGCTCGAGAATTAAAGAGCTTACTGCCAGCAGCATTTTCAATCGATCCAACACTTAGCTTCGATCAATCGATCGAAGCTGACGTGGCATCAAAATATCTTCCAGGTCTTATCCAATTGGCTGAGCTGGCACCGTCTCATCTCGATCGATTTTAGACCTCTTCAATCGATCGGGATTCCCTTCGATCGATTGAAACTCCTCTGGTGCAATTTTCTTGGCTTCTTTCCAACTTTGCTTCTTAGCTCCAAAATTGAGCTAAATGGCTCTTGTTAGCCTGTTTAAACTTTATTGACCTGAAATAGACAAAAACACAAATAAGTATCTAAGACATGAAAGTAAGATAAACGAATGGACTAAAATACCCTAGCTTAGGTGCTAAAATGCGTCACATTTGAGCACTTATCATAATAGTTATCCACTACATCATATTGATACAAACCACTTCAACTACACAAATATATTAGAGTAGTCAATACTCATATAGCAAGTAAAAACTTTTTCCATAGTCAGTATGGTGAATATGATATAAGTGTAAAAAATAATAATTATTAGAGATAATTTCACTGACACCCCCTGAGGTTTGGCCAAATATCAGTATAAAACATCTTTCCAAAATAACTATCACTCACATTACACTTACCCTTTGACTTTGGTTTAACCCATTTAATTATTTCTTTAATAATTGAAATAACATATTTACCCTCATTTAGATACCTAAATTACCCTCCATTATTTTAATGACATTTTTGCCCTTCTCTAACCTTCAAAGACCATCATTGTTCTCAATTCCGGCGACCATCACTAATTCAGTTCCGGCAAGAGCTTGTTGGATTCTAAAGCTCAACCTTCACCATGGAAATTGCCGACTAAAACCTATTGTGGCGAGGAAGGAAGACGATCCAGAGACCCATTGTTCCGAGCTCGACCACATGCCTCTCGCAGCGCCGAAGACGGAAGCCACGTTATCTGAGCATGTCATTTGAGCATTATCGGTTGAGTTTTTGTCATTCACTACTGTTGCCGAGAATGGGTCTTGTTCTCCCTGTGCTATTTTCTGGTTATGTTTCTCTCACTATGTTTTGGTATCAATAACCAATGGTGGTAATAATTAATTGGAAGCAAAATGCCTAATAACATACACAGTTGAGAGAGAGAGTATAACAATGAACATGATAAATTAATTACTGAATATTGATAATTGAGAATAACTATATTGAGACTGAATTTTACTATTAATATGGGTATTGTTGAGATAGACTATTGGGTTCCAGTGACATGCAGTGTAACACCAAATCATGTCCAAAACAATCAGTATTGGATCTCCATCCCCTTGAGATATTGAAATTAATATATATATATATATATATATATATATATATATATATATATATAAAAGAAAAAAAATCATTAATTAGCTAGATGTTATGATGGTTCTTGATATATGGATATAGAGAGAAATAGAGAGAGAGAGACAGCGTGGGGGGCATTCGAGATGGTGTGATCGCGTTGGCCAAAATTCGAGATGGGAAGGGGCAGCTCTCGAATTTTAATTACATACTGAAACAAAAGGATTTCAATTACATACATTTATATATCAATAATATATAGATAAACATACATATATGTAACAATCTAGTTCAAATGGAGATGACTGAAACAAAGGGATTTCAACAAATTAAAGAAACAAACAAATGTAAAAATAAAAAAAATAAAAACCCTAATTTTGGATGAGAAAGTGGAAGGAAACAATGTTGGGCATCAAAGTGGGATAGGCGGTGATGTTGTAGACCCCGTCGGCGAGGAAAGTGTCAAGCCAGGGCAGAGGTCCAAGCATTTTGCATTGTTCATCAAACCCATAACCTATTGTTTACTTTTTATCAAACCCACAACCCATAACCTGTTGTTGATCAAAGCGAAGCTCTCTGTATTCGCCGAAAATGGTGGATCTAAATGAAGCTTACCGGTGGAGAAGATAGTTGGTTTGGATGGAAGATGGTTTTGAGTTTATGAGGGTATGAAGTTTGGACTCTAGAACTACGACTCTGAAACTAGTTAGGGTTTCATGGTTTTGTTAATCTGTGGGTCGTATCTGTAGAGAAGAGAGAAAGTGGTTTTGATAGACAGAAGAGAGACAGACAGACAGACAAAAGCGCCCTTGAGGAGAGAGAACATTCGATACAGATAGAGATAGTGGAGAGAGAAATAGTGTGTTTATGTATTGGCGGGAGAGTGGGTAGGTGAGAGTTTAATGAGGGGTGTAAGAGTCATTTACATTATCTGCTATTTTGTATTAAATGTCTTTTTTCACGTTTTTAACGGAGACAGTAACGAAAAAGTGAAATTGGACCTAACTGATAGTTATTTTCGAAAGATATTTTAAACTGATATTGGTCAAACCTCAGGAGGTGTCAGTGAAATTAACCCTAATTATTAATATGTATCAATCGTATTTGACGTCAATCACGCCACCATGTTTAATGTGGTGAATTTTTTTGCTTATCGATCAGGCATGGATGTGTGAAATTTTGTTTGTATTTATACCTATAAAATTTTGAAATTGTCCCACTGAAATTATGAAAAAATGCATCTATATAAACTTGTTCCCCATATGAATTCCTAAATCCGTTCCTATTGATGAGCAAAAGATTTTATATATATTCAAAAATTTCTATCGAGTTTGATGTATAAAATATATATATATATATTTCCTTTTTACCGACTTCCCAAATTCGACTTGCTTTGGGTTAAAGAGTTCTTCTCACCAAACTTGCAAATATTCCATATTGACAAATAAAATGCTTCTAGTTGTTCCATCATAATCAAGGCCGAAATTACCTGCAAAATTAAATTTTCAATTCCCACTCTTTCAAAGAAAATCCATTTCCAATACTCTCTCTCACACCTTGACACATTTATGCATATGTAATTGTCAAGCCTCCAACAACAGCTCATCATCTCACACAAGACAACCCATAGGTGTTGAGAATCTAGTCCAAAAAAACTCAAGTTAGTGGGTGTCCATTAATTCAGTCTCAAGTATTAGTTATATTACAAGCAAAGTCCTAAAAGGTCAAGTGGCATCTTTGTAAGTATTCCCAACTCCAGTGGCATTTCCATACCCACCTCGACATTTGTAATTCTATAGCTGCCCCAGATCACCATTCCCTTTGCCTCATCAGTCCGCTCAGAGTTTAGAGAGAGAAATATAGAAAGTTAGAGAGAGAAATAGAGAAGCAAGAATGCGGAGGTCCGGTGTTTTCTCGGTGCTGTGTGTGACTTTCTTCTTCTTCTTTATCCTCAGCCACACGATGTTTTCATCTCCTGCCGTTGATGCCGCTGCTGTTGTTTCTAGTGGGGACCACCACCAGCTGGGGTGGATTCCGGCGACCTGCACGGGATCGATCGGCGAGTGCCTTGACGGCGGGGACGACGAGTTCGAGATGGACTCGGAGATCAACCGGCGCATCCTAGCGACGAGGCGGTACATAAGCTACGGTGCGCTGAGCAGGAACAGTGTCCCCTGCTCGCGACGCGGCGCCTCGTACTACAATTGCCGACCGGGAGCTCAGGCCAACCCCTACACTCGCGGATGCAGTGCCATCACTCGCTGTCGCCGTTAAGTGCTTTTTGTTTATTTATTTATTTTATTTTCCATTTTTAATTTTTAATTTTTAATTTTTATAAATAAGCAATATTTTTACTTGTAATTTTAATTTTGTGGTTTGTTATTGGGAATCATATTTAAATGGAGCATACATAATGATAATATTTTTGGTGTTTGTTAAAAAAATGTCTTTTGAATCAGCATCATATGTAATACGCGTGGTGTGTAAATTGTAATATACTTATATATATATGTGCGTGTCGGTGTGTTATGCGTAATATAAATATCATAATTGATTGGTGTTGGTGATACTAATAATTGGCTGTATGATATTAATTCAAATTAATGTATTTAAATTGGTCCTACATCTCACATGTGAACGGGAAACAAAATAAAACAAAAATATCACCAATCAATTACAATTATATAATTTACATTTAATTCAAAAATGCACATATGTTTGTTTTTATTTAGATGCATCTTACACCACTATACCCATTCACTTGTGTTTAAAAGATGAAAAAGTGAATTGGTATATATGAATTTTGTGTTAAAATAAGAATTCTTCTACTTGTGTTAAAAGACGAAAAAGTGAATGGGAATATATGAATTTTGTTTAAAATTAGAATTCGTCACAAGTGGGTTAGTACTAGGAAGTGAACGGGTCTACGGGAGTGTTGTGTGTTAGGTGGGTGTTAGTCCAGCTAATATGTGGTGTCATGCTTGGCGTGTCGGGGTGACCACATCCCGGGTGAAGATGGGAAAGCAGATGCTATGTTTTTTTGGTATTGTAGAGTTGGAATATCAATTTCAATTGATTTATATAAATTGTGACTGATATGTTATTAATATTTTTGTCGAATGTAAAGAGATAATTAATGTCATTTCAATTTGATTTTAATTCTCACCATGGGTGACCGACAACAAGAGAATTGTATGTATCCATTGGGAAAAAGTTACTAAAATTACTATTAGATGCTAAATTAATCATGCTACACTTTTGTCATAAGTGTTTATCACTTTCTATATTCTACAAGAAATGCAAACAAAATTATTTCAATTTCGAATATAAAATGAACCTTCACATCCATTAATATGAATAATTTACTTACAAAAAACACTATAAATATATGCTTCAAGTTAAAATTATGATATTTTACTCTTTTGGAACAAATATTTTGTTACCCAAAATCTTCTCTAATACAAAGCTTAAGACAAATTCAGCCAACAAGTAAACATTTATATTATTTACATTATTATCACGAAAATAATTTGTTGTGTTTAAAAACACCGAATCAGCTGCTATGTTTGAAAATACCTGCTATGTTTGAAAATATCGAATCATCAGCTTAAATTTAGAAATGGGAGAAATTCAGTTCCACAATTCCAAATTCAAGGCACCAATTCAAAACGGTTGCTCCAAACGCAACACAATGAATTTGATCCAACCATTTTGACATCTGAGCATTATTTGAGACCACTCAAAATAGGTTTCATATGTCTTTATCATATTCACACTCAAATCACTATAACTAATCAGTATCACCACAATATGTGGATACAGCTTGTTATTTGAAACTTTATCTTCATTCAGGGTGTGACAACGCAAACCGGATTCGTGCAATGCCGTGAGCAGAAGCCTCTATACTCTCGGAAATAAAGCGTACCTTCTCTTCAGATTCATAACAAATGATTTCAAATCCTCATGAGTTAGTTCTACAAGAGAATTGTTACAAATTACGCATCAAAAGTAACAGCCTCAATTACAGAACCCGAAGACATTCATATGTTCTCAAACCAATTTACTGTTTTTCAGTTCTGAATCTAAAAATCACAACCAACCAAATCAAGCACAAGAAACCAGACCATTAAAAGCAACATCTCATGCTGTGATACTACTTATGCGGAATTATCAGCTGCCTTGGGTTCTTCCTTTGCCTTCGACGTGGCCGAAGGAGATGGTGAGCCCTCTTGCCCCATCTCGGTTCTGAGGTCATTGATGCTCTGCTCTAGTTCATCTATCCGGCTGCCCATCTCATCAAGTGCAATATGGTTAAGGAAACAATATTCATATCAATTTCAAAATAAAAAGACGATACTAATGTACTTCAGACTTGAATCCCATGAATATTAATCCATCATTTAGATCAAAAATAACTAAGTGAACCCTAAACCGTAATTTCCCACAGATAGAGAGAGAGAGAGATGCAAAAGACTACAGCCAAGAGTGACAAACAAAATCTGTTTATTATAATGGCTATTCAACACATCATGGAATTTAAATAACACTATTTTTTTTTTTTTTTCTAGTGTATGGAAGCATCTGATATATGCCATCATAAGACAAGAGAATTAAGTCATTGCCAAAGAGAGTCCTCTAAATGTTTTAAGAGAAATGCAAATCAACGTATCTTCTACAACTACTAAAACTGCCCTTGCACATGATTTTCCCGGGTGGCCCCTAATACAAGATGAGTTAATCCTACTTGTTTTTATTCAATTGAACTACTACGAAAAACCTTAATAGACAAGTTTTAAATGCTATATAACATCAATGGAGTGGTTTTAATTCCATGAGACATCTCATGTAATTCACTCTAACAAAATACTGTTAACATGGAAAAAATGAAAAGGATATTCTTGGTAATGATGGAATCAGACATTGTCTGGAACCTGGATTGCTGCAAAATACAATGTCTCAGCAAGAAATTTACATTTTGTATTAAAAAGGGAAAGTTTATATGAAGTAACAAACTAACCATTTGCTGAAGAAGATTTTGTACCTGAGGAGGAAAAAAGCAATAAAACCGTTTAGCGAATGAAAAGTCATATTTACTTCAGCCATAGGTCATAACGTAATAATTAGGTGGAGGATAAAATCCATAAACATTCTATTAATTTCTCATCCTCTTCTTCCTTGTTATATATGAGCCTCTTAATTGATTAGGATTCTCCAAACGACCTAATATGAGAAAGGAACACAGGTACTCTGAAATTCAGACCCCAAGTAGAACTACATATTCTTCCTCATGTATGTGAGTGTTGTAATTGATTAGCATTCTCAGCCCCAATGATGGAAATTGGGGAAATGATGCAGATACCTCAGTATTCAGATATTCAACATCTAGCAATGTAGCCTAAAATGATGATATACACATGGCATGGCAGTAGCAGCCCAATAAAACCACATGCAAGAATCCAGACCATATCCTACTCCCACCTACAAGAAATGACCAAACTGTCCAAAAATGTCCAAACTATTATGCCATAAAAATTGATTGATCAGGAAACTGCTAAATCTAGAGATCTATACACTCCCAAGTCCTAACCAGCCATGAGACCATGCCATCACTACAACATCCTTTTTGGGTAAAGATCACTACAGCATCCTTCTGACCATATGGAGGTATCTCAAAGGCTCAGAGCTGTATGTGACTTTTGAGGAATATGGAAACATAAATTTATGGAAAATAGTTACAGTTTAGGAACTCACAAATACTGTCATATCAGCAGTACTCTGTTTTGGATCATCTGTGTCATGCCCGTCCTGCCAAAAAACAAGTGATATAGTACAAAACAAATGTTATTAGGGAAATCAATACACACCACAGTACAGCACTGAATAAAGAACCATTGATATAAAAAGATGTGCTGGAAGGAAGAGGTCATTTTCATTCTATCTCAAAGCTCGGATCAGTGATACAAGCTCTATTAACCAGAGCAAAGAAGAAAAATATCATAAAAATTGTAACTTTCCACTAACTACGGGATTTCTTGCAACCTCTAATCATAATGAATAATTTATCAGCCATTTGCTGTACAATTTCATTGTTTGGTTAACCTCCTTAATAGTAAAAAATAAAAATAAATAAATAATAATTTATCTATTGTATGAAAAGGGGAAATAATTTCTACCATGCATAACCTCCATAAATTGCTTGGAAATCAGACTCCAACCTTCCTCCATTCCCACAAACAAATACAGTCATTCATGTTATTGTAACCCAAAAGAAAAAAAGAAAAGAAAATAAAAAGGCTTCATTGAAGAAAAATAAAAAATAAAGAAAATAATTATAAAAAAAAAAAAAATTGAGCATTTGTTGTCAGAGAAAATGATTATTATATTGGCAAATCTTTATCTTGAGGGAATCAACAAAATCTTCCCAATAAGTTAGAAAAGTTTAAATACTATATATCAGAAGACTCGGGCCACTGGGCTTGTCTATTTTGGGGAAAAACGCAAAATTTAACAAGTTTTTTAAGTGTTACATGGATTTCTTCTTTCTCTTCTTCTCCATGTACTCACGTCAACACAACTTGGCATGGGTTAAAAAATTATATAATGATATACGTCTCCGCTTCCCGAATTGGACACCTCAATCCTCCACATGTAATGACGATGATGGAAAAAGAATAAAAACCGCACATTTCAGAGCACAAAAAAGGTTTCCAAGGCTGAGATAGATAGAACCCCCATTGTTTAAGATATCCCATTTAATTAATATCATAGTTAATTATATCCGTAAAGGCATAAACAATAATAGCAGCATATATTGCACAAATATCTAACACATAGTGTATTTAAATTCATACATTGCACAAATATCTAACAGATAATGTATTTAAATGTGTAGCTCGTGCCTACGTAAACGTATCCAACTTTTTGTTACATTTTATGTTAATTTAGGGGAGGTCTAATACTAAGAAATCCACTTGCCCCAATCTGCATGTCACATAGAGCTTCATAAACTTCAAAGTACATTTAAATCAAACCCATCTCTAAATCCTTTTAAACCAAAACCTTTATGGTGGCTTGGTCCACAACTAACAAGAATGTCAGTAATTATGCCCAAAAGGGAGGGAGGGAGGGAGAGAGACCCTAAGCCTTCATATAAGACCTTCAAGGAAATAAACCAACAGTTTTTTAGGAAAAATTACAAAAAAAAAAAAAAAAACACACTTATTGTATTCATATTGTGCATATAACACCCCTGTACTACTTTTTGTGTACATAAAAGTCCTTATATTTTTTAAAATCGTTGCAAACTACCACCTTCCATCTAATTGCCGTTACAATTTGACCATTAAAGTGATCACGCGCATGTCACCGGACTTGCTTAAGTTATGAAAACCAAAAAATATCCTTTCTTTGTTCCAAGAATACTCCACAATCATGTATATATACACATATATATACATATACACCCACACAAGGAGGAACTCCCTCTGCAACTCTGTTTCTCTCTCTTGCTGTAACTGTAAGTTTTTTAATCAGGGCTTCCTATAGCATATCGGATTGTATAAATCATTGTACCAAAGACCTTAATTCATATATGTATATATTAAATATAAGAATTGAAAAATAAAGTAGGACTCAAATGAAGAATTGATGATAGGTTTAGAATTAGTGACTCAAAATTGAAATAGAAGAGAAACCTGACGATATATATAAATATTTATTTATATGTACATATATAGAGAGAGAAAATCGAAGGGAACTGTATTTGCAAAGGCGCTTGTAGAAGGCATTCATGTGTTAGAGCTGCGAACCAATTCTTCTTTGGGTCTAAAAGCCATTTCGTAAATGACAATGCATGGTTACCTGACCAGATCTCTCTCTCTCTCTCTCAACCGTGTACATATCAATGTGCGTCACTAGCCAACGGAATGAGAGAGAATGTATAATTAGAGAGATTGTGTACAGATCAAGGTGGGCCACTCATTGACAGTGAGAGAATGCAAAGGTCGGGGTTTTAGGGCAAACCAAGATGACGATGTTTGGTTTGCCCTTTTTTTAGTAACAAGGAATTAATTCACCCCCTAGTCACTTTGGACTCTTAGATGGCTTGCAAACTCCGGATGCATGCAATTGCCCGCAAACCACGTGCATCATTTAAGTTCATATCTCATATTTGATGAATCTCGAACTAGATACCTAAGGGAAGTACCTCCAAAGGCCTTACCAGTTGAGCTACCCCGTGTGTGCCCGTTTTGTCTCTCTACTTCTTCTTTTCTTTCCCTTTTTTTCCTGAGAAGGATATTTTTGTCTTTTCAAACATCCGTTAACGGCAAAATGACTTTAGGTCCTCATTTGCACCGAAAGTGAAGGTTAGGGGTGCTTTCCAAACAAGAAAGGGTTATATGCACCATATGACTATAGTGAGGGTGTTTTTTCACTTCCCCCCTTTTTATATATGCCCAAGTGTGTCACAAACCAAGTGGATTTCATTCTGAAGGGATGTGCCAGAACTAATGTCATGATGTCAGACAACTATGTAGTAGACATTACGGATCAAATAACATTGTGGAATGGATAATTCAGTAATAGTACTCTGACAGCCTCAATCTCTAAATTTTTTGGTATTCAAGGAATACCAAGTGCTTTGAGCATCATGAAGTTATAAATTACTAAATGAAGATAATTTATTGAATGACAATTTATCAAAAAATAATTTATTGAATGAGCATACTATTCATATGCTTGTGCACATTTTTTAAGTGCTATGTTGCCGCAGAACAAAATAAAATTAAAATAAATAACACAGTTTTAAAGTAACAAAATGTGTGACAATGGCAATATATAATCAGAAATAATTCAACGCATTTGTTGTTGATCAAAACATAAGCAGATACATCTTCCATGGTAGACATAATCCATAGGGAGAGTAATTTACATTGCATAGCCCACAACAATTCGTGTTCACAATTTGTCAGCATCGGCCTTCAGAAAATACAAGGCTGTGTGCTACTGGTAGCTTACATCCAAATCTGGTATAATTGAGTGAATAAAACCACTTATTCATCCTTGCTTTGATCTCTCTTTCTTCTATCTTTTTCTTTATTTGAAACTTTCTAAAGAAAGAAAAAAACTATAGCAAATAGGAGAACAATTTCCCATTTGAGGGAGTTATTTTTAAATTAGAAAAAAAAATTATATATTTTGCATATCAACAATGCTAAACAGATAAAACAATTATGAGCTATACAAAGTTGTTTTGCAATCTTGCAGACCTTTGTTTTCTTTTTTGAGACTTAAAGTTATCTACCTTGTTAAAGAGATATACATGATTATTGTTTTTTTGGCCTCTTTGAAGGTCTAAGGCGCCCTTTGGCCTTTTGTTTCTTTTGTTTTGTTTTGTTTTTTGTTTCTTTGGGTTCCGCTCCCCTTTTGAGCGTTTTTAATAAAATCTTACTTATCAAAAAATAATAATAATAAAAAATAAAAAATAAAATAGAAATAAATAAAGAGATATACATGCTCCACCAAAAAGATGTAGTGATGTATCCTACCGCTAAAAGATCACATAGCCATCTTTGCCTTTTTTTATCAGAGAACTATATTTTGTTAACCAAAGGCAAACAAATAAACTAAATAACTATAATATTTGTCCATTTTTTTATATGCTTACCTTGATAATTATCATACTAAAGGCGTGTGCAGACTAAAGGAGTGTGCATCTGAGACCTTGATAATTATCATACTAAAGGTGTGTGCATACTAAAGGAGTGTGCATCTGAGAGAGATGCAAATGAAATAAAAAAGTAATTTGTTTGTGTCATTGAAATTTCTTCAATGGGTAGAATTAAGTATCTATATGACAGGCAAAAGTGGCAGCTGAGAAGAATATCAATTAAATCAGATCCAAAAGTGACTATTGAACCAATAAGAAGCAAGAACCAATATCTCACAGAAGATATAGCCAATCCAGGACATCAAAACAATGATGGAAGATTTTTCTTCTTTGATTACATTCCCTGTCTGAAGGGTACAAGTTGGGCAGCAAATTTTTGTCATTGAACATATAGGAATTAATTTCTTTTAGTCACATTTTCACGGTTGAAAAAGAAATTACACAAATCCCAGGTTAGGGAAATGCTATTGGAAGGTAGTACGTGTGCTTAATAATATTTTTGTCTACAAGGAAAGAAAATTACTTTTAGAAAGGGTATCATAAGAACCATCTCTAGCAGAACTAAACTATCAAGGAGTTCCTGCGCGAGAAGTGCATTAACCATAATTCTAGTTTGGGATCACCAAGTTAAATGATCCGTAAACAACCGTTGCATTACTCAATCATAGACGACAATCTTTTGAGAAAGAGCTCCAAATTTTGATAAATGGAGCAATATGAACAAGTGCATAGAAGAATTTACAATAATCTGTATATTATACATCCAATTTTCACTCTATATTGCCGTATATAATGAATCAACAATGAAATTGTAACATCCAACTCCATGAAATAGTTACATAATTAGAAAGATAAATGCCCACTTTAATTTCGAACTAAATCTTTGTTTGGTTGCTGAGACTAACAAGGGGAAAATAATCAAACATAAAATTTTCAACCCAGTGACCAAAATCGTTTTGGTTTTCAATGAAATAAAAACTTCAGCCCAGCTGAACCAAAGAATTGTATTATAGACTCAGACAACAACAACAACAACAACAACAAAATTTGTTTCTAACGTCTAATTAATTTTCGTTTCCCACATTTTCTCGGCAACCGAGCATAAATGAATAATTTCGAAGCTGAAATACAAAATGACATAGTGAAATCACAACTAAAACGGATCATATATGATTTTAAACACAAGACAATCTGTTGTCGAGTAGAGATGTTTAGATCAATTCAAGTGAAACTACTCAAAACATTCACCCAAAAAAGAAGTTACTCAAAACCCTAGAATGAACAGATTAAGAGTGCATAAAATTCAGAGATTGATCGAATACAATGTGCAAATCTGAACCACCATGTTTTGTGTGTGTGTGTGTGTGTGTGTGAGAGAGAGAGAGAGAGAGAGAGAGGAAATGCTACCATTTTCTAGTTTTCTGCTCTGCTGTAAATGGCTTCGACACTTTGTTTCCAGCGAAGAGTTGTGAATTCAATGGATTTGGAGTGCAGAAACTAAAGAGGTGAACGGAGGTATCGGCTCAAATTACAAATTTATCCCTACTTGTCTACTGCAATTACAGTATATGTCTAAATAATAAAATTCCAACTATTCTAATTTTAAATAATCAATTCCACACTTCCAAACAAAACATCAAACTAAGAGTAATCGGTAGTAGGCCTTTATTGCCAGCTAGGAAGTCAGTATTGCTAGTGTTTGGCTTGGTACAATAGCAATTTGTGAGACCCGGAAGGAAGAATAGCAAAGGACATCGCAACAGGAAAAATGCTATTGCGAGCCAAACAAGGCCCACAACTACTGCAATGGCTCTTTTCTTCTTCTTTTTTTTTCTTTTTTTTCTTTTGGTTTTTTTCTTTACTATTTCTTTTTATATGTAATTTATTTTTATTGTAAAAAAAATATTTATGATTTTGATTATTTTATTTTATTTTTATTTTGAAATAAATATTTATGATTTCTATTTCTCAGTCTTTTGAAATTTTTTTTTTTTAAAAAATTGTCAACAAATATATATGAATTTTTTATTAAAAAAATCATATTGTTAGAAACGGTTTTTTTTTTTTTTCATTACTATTTCCTTTTATATGTAATTTAAATGAAGGTGGTGGTCATATGTAATTTATTTATATTTGTGAGAAAATATGCAATGTCTTTTTATTTTATTTATTTAATTGTGAGAAAATATGTAATGTCTTTTTTTTATTTTATTTATGTAATTGTGAAACAATATGTAAACCTACCCTACCCTCGATAAGATTGATTAGATTTCACAAGAAAAAAAAAATTCCCTGAATAGTACCCGCGAGTACTGTTCACCGGGGTTGGAAAAAAATATATATATATATTATTATTATTTATAACATTCCCAAAGCTAGACGTGTAAGCTTGGGAATTGGGGGCAACTGATAGGAAAAAATATAAACCTACCATACCCTCGATAAGATTGTAGATTTCATTATCAAGAATAATGAAATCAAATCTGACGTGGTTCAACAAGTAAGAATAATCCTACTATAACTGGAGGAGGTCAAAAGGATTAAATTATATCCCAACAAATCTGGTAATAAATCTCCTATGATTTCGCAAAAGCGGAAAATAAGGTCAACCATAGATATCAGCGGAACGATTTTGATTCCAATTGACAGCCATAAATAGGGCATCAAGCCATCCCTGCCTTCTTTTTAGACCTCCGTGACTAATTTGATCGTCGGAGAGCTCTTGGCAGGCACCACACCGGTGCCGTCAAGGTTCATCGATCTTCTCCTCTCTTCCTTGCAGGAAAACGATATCGTATCGGATTGCGCGAATTTCAGCCTCAACATAATGTATTTTTGATTTATTTAATTATGAGAAAATATATTAATTTAAATGTATTAAAAGAAGTATTCTATTCAAATATATAATAAAAAAGTTTTCAAGTAATTGAAAAAGTAACCGTTTTAAAAAATACAAGCAAACTAAAAAATAAATATGTTTTAAATTTTTTTTACTCAAAATATTATATGTATTAAAAAAATATTTAAAAAATAATAAATATCAATTAACCCATACCGTGACTAAAAGATAGCAATATACTGTTGCAAGCCACATCAGCACAATTGCTGACGTGGCTAGCAATCCAACAAAGCTTTGCTAGCCTGTATTGCTAGCATTACACCGGTTCGAGTTTTTACTTTTTAATTTGATTCTGCTTTTAAAAATATGAAATTGTTTATGAATCAAACAAGACCGTTATATAAATATGTGTGTGTGTGTGTATATATATAGCATAATTGAAATATGGAGTTGTTTGTTATGATTTAAGTGGGATTTTGTCAGTATAAAATATGCTATTTTGACCATAATAAGATATACGGAGTAATTGTAATGAATGTGTGAGTTTCATAAAAATAAATAAATAAAATAAATAGTCATACTATTTCTTCTTTGTAACTCTACATCTGATATTTAGAGTAAGAAAATGATTTGATAGCCAAAATTATGGAGCTGAATTGGGAGCCCAAAGCTCCTATACCTTTGATGCTTGTAGTGGGGCCAGACATAGGGCGCCTCAATGATCAAGCGAATGTGAACAGCTGGACTGTATAAATATTATATATATATTTTTAAAAGGTTTGTCAACTAATATTCTCCGTATGTAGTAATTACGTTCTGCTTATCAGTACATTTTTTTTTTTTTTTTTGACCAAACAACATAGAATTCACATTTAAGGGGAGAAAGAAATATAATCAGGAGTAGAGCATGTAATTACCACGGGGCAATGCTCCACTCCAAATCCCTATAATTGGTTTCTAAAGCATTTTGTTGATTGACTATAATTACTAAGTATATAATTACATAATTGCTTGTCAAAGCTCTTTACAATATTTGTTTTGTGTGGTAATTTTCATCTAGGTGATTGAATGATATTTTTCAAAACATTTTTAAAATATTAGAATTTGTTTAGTATACGTTTTGTTTTTGCATTTTTATTTTAATTCGAAACACAATAAGTGTCTTGAATAGTAATCAAATTCATGCTTGGTAATGCTTATTGTTGCAAAAAAAAAAAAAAAATTAAAACAAAAACGTAAAAATATGTTTGATAAATAAATGTTGCGGATCACAAGTGACTTCCTTTCTTTCTTAAGCTTCTGTCGAGAGTTCGGATTGCTCCACCTAAGTAGAACGAAAAGAATAGAAAAAAAGAAGAGATTTTTCCATTAGCTGAAAGCTGATGCGTTCTCGTGATGGGCATTCGGCTTGCCCCTCATCCTCTGCTTTCAGCCATTAGGCCCTTGAGATAATCAGAAGAACTTCAGGCAAGAATTTCGCTATTTCGATTCTGCTAGCCCTTGGGAAACAAGTTTAAAAAATAAAATGACTAATTTAAAAGGGTCATTTCAGAATTTTTCATTTTTATTCTTTTTATAATGTTCATTGCTACAATACCTGGTACTACATTGTGAAAACATGTAGAACACTAAATTGGTGTTTCGAATTTTAACTACTATTAACGAAACGTTTTGGCGCTATATAAAATAAAATATTTTTTACTAAACACATTTTTTCCATTGTTTACTACTATAATATATACCTGACAAAAATTAAAACATCAAAACCAACGCACACCAGATAGGTTAGTTTGTCGAATAAAAAAATAAATTGATAGTATCCATTGAACTAAATTATTGGTCTGAACTATTAAAAAATTCATAACCGAATCAATTTATCACAATTCAATTTAGTTTAGTCCCATTAATTTTATAACAATAAAACATGACCATGGTTCCTCGCATCAATCCATGTTTCCGATGATGGTGCTACCCGAGTCTCTCAATGGATCCACCTCAGGCATCTTCAAAGGTGGGTTGGTGGGTGTTTGCCTGTTTGGATTGTTCTCTATCACTGATAAGCACTTTTATTTTAAAAAATTTACGGTCAAATATGTTCAAGGCGCTTAAGTAAAGTTATGAATTGTACATTTTAAAATTGCATTACGTGTAGAGGTTTATTATTTTAGATAGCTAAGTTTTTTTAGACAATGTAATCCCTTTTTATTTTTTATAGATACAAGCTTGTCCCTGTTACAAACAAATAGCAAACAAATGTCCTAAATTTTCTGGGTACAACAGGAAATGAATATCCTAGTTTAAATTTAGAGTAATGATAGAACAACCGAATGATTATCATCGAAAATTCACCGAATCTTTTTATTAAATTTATATCCTAGTTTTTTTGGATTCTGCAACTGCCTTCCAACCTCACCAGTGCTGCCTTCCAATCCGCATCACATTAATAATCATTAAATTATGTTTAACTTATTTATAATTTAGTACTAAATAAAAATACTATATCATAAACAAAATATGTGATATTTAATAAATAAATAAAAACCAATACAAGTTGATCTTCATAAATTATTGAACTCAATGAAATTTTATAATATTTTAATATTAGGAAATTAACACATATTTATTAGTGTAAGAGTAATATAGTAAAATTAGTAATAAAAATGATTTATGCAACATTATTACCAAACAAATTTAAAAGTGTTTCAAGTATAAAAAGTGTTTTATACAATGTGTCACTAAACGCATGACTGCGTTTTATTAACAACAGTTTTATGACAGCTATACTACTAAAAGCATTTTCAACATTCTAACAGCAATTGACTCTTGGTAAGAGATGAATCATTACGAGAGACTTCAATTCTATTACCTTTAACTTTGAAAAAAGAGGGGTGACCCAAAGTTGAAATGAATCTTGAAGAGCTTCAAAACCTTTATTAAAGACTGCAAGCTCATGGACGTGCATGGGCTTCAAAGGTCCGTTTTTCACTTGGTGTAACAATAGAAGCTCTAGTCACACTATTAGATCTCGCCTCCATCATGGCCCCTACACACCGGAATGGCTCTCCTTGTTCCAACATAACAAGCTCCATAATGTCCCTGTAGACACTAAAATTTTAGTGGGCTTTGGTGTTGACAAATGGACCCATAAAATATGGGCCTAATGTTTAATTAAGTTTTTTAATTGCCCAAGTTTGGTCTACTTAAATTATTTAATTAGCCCAGACCAGATGGTTAAATAAAAAGATAATTATTCCTAATAAAATATATTTGGAATAATTATTTTTAAGGATAATTATCATAATATAACCGGCCCGGCCCAGTTATAATTTTATCCTTATCAGTAGATGACACGTGTCATCATCCTATCAACCCAAGAACCCTATAAATAGAGGCCTGGGGAAGGGAGAAGGAGGACAAAAATTCAGAAATTCAGAGTCCAGAAATCCAGAAGGTCCAGAAATTAAGAGAATTAGAAATCCAGAGGGCCAGAAATCCGGAGGGCAAACCTGAAGGCGAAGAATACCAAGCATATCCAAAGTTGTGCCGTTCTTCACCAAATTCAACAAATTCTCTCCTCTCTGAAGACGAAGAACAACAAGCACATCCAAAGACGTGCTATTCTTCCTCAAATTCAACAAAGGACAGAAATTCAGAATTCAGAAGTTCAAAAATTCAGACACAAATTCAGAATTCAGAAGTCCAGAAACAAAGGACACAAATTCAGAATT